AAATTGTACCAGTTCATTTAGAGATGGTGACAATTTAGGACAATCCGTTTCACCTCACGCCCTTTTAATCGTAAAGAATAGTTTCATGAAATGGAAATTCATATTTGATTTCACGATATAACTATCATCTGTAATAAACTATTTGATTATGAATTTATAATAATAGCCGACTATGGATTTTAAGATTCGTTTTTCAAGGGTCTTCGATGCACTGAAAAGTAAGCCATTTGATATTTCAAAGTGTCGCTTCCCCAGGACTAACAGGATCGGTTGACTCCATACGTGCTTGTCGTAACCAATCCCTCATATTCCTAGTTCTCTCCATCAAATTTGATGGGCCACGTTCTACAGTACCAACACTCGTTGTGAAACCATTATTCGGCCCATACTGTGTTATAATATTCTGCGTTGTAGTAGACGGAAGAGTTGCTGTCAGTTGGGATAAAATATTTGAATGAATATTGGGCGTTCCAAAACCTGTATTGAAAAACATAACGTTAATTTTCACTATTATTTCTGCGGTATTAGATAATGTTGAATATTTACTTTGTGTATTGTTGGTTGAGGTAATCACGTGTTGATGAGAAAAGTATCCTAAATCAGAATATGACAATGTCGGTGGTGGTGGAATATTGTTGCCTTGGCGTTTATTCAGGACTCCCCAAATTTCACGAATCTCCGAATTTAAATTTTCCAGACTTGCGATTATCTCGGTTGATTCCGGAAACTGATCTGGTTTATCTGAGATACAATGAATTTCATGAATTACAGATTATTTATGAACGCAATAATGTGTATCATTCTAATAATTAATAACGACTTACCAATGAACGTGTCTGTACCAAAATCAGTAGAACTGAATCCACTACTGGCACTCGACATATCACTCAGAGTAAGTTCATCACTTTTAATTGGAGCACTTTGACTCTCATTCCTTTTTGCATTCACTACCCTCTCAAGTGACTGCTCAGAATGCCTCAAATGAATTATCTTTTCCCCAAGTAAACTTCTGGTTCGATGAAGACCCACTTCCATTTCTGCGAGTTCTCGTTCCTCCTGTAAATTGACAATAAATGTTCGTACAACAACAGGTGTTCCGGAACCGTAGGATAAATTATTTTCATCAAGAGATACGCTGCCGTATATTTCCATTAAGGTTGTTGTCGCGTAGAATTTTTTTTCGACAGTTTTCGTTAAAAATTTTATGGTGAATAGTTTGAAAAATTAGCAACAAAATGAGCCTT